AATATCCATTTCTAGCTGATTGGGCAGAATGTTCTTCACAGTCTTGTGCATTTAAAAGCCATCTTGGTTCCCATCCACAAAGACTTATAAGCTTCTGCGCCTGATAATAGAAAGGAACTGGATTAGAAGAACATATACTTCAGTTTAATTTGACCAATACAACAAATCACAAAGAGAGACAAGTTTATAAATAACTCTTACACGAGAATATAAACAGATTGATCCATCCCGGGAGCTTTCCTGTTCTGGTATACTTTCAGGTTTAAAATCTACTTCCCCTGCCATAAGAAAGCGATCAACCTGCGGACCCCGAGAAACCAACATTTGCTCAATTGCAGATGCAGCTACCTTAGGTAGAGAGTGGAATTGAAAAAGTCCATCACATCTATCCTTATATCCCCCAATTAAAGCGGACTGAGGGGTAGGAGGGAATTGCACCAGGCTTTCTGGGCAGCTGTTTCCTCTCCAAGGACAAGCAACTTTGTGACCGGAATCCAGCTGCTTGACAAAGGCATCCCCCACATTTTGAACTTTGCATTGAAATGAAGAGGACAAGAAAATTTTAAAAAGTAGGAATAGACAAGCTTATGCCGATATCATTGAATTCTTAACACAATTTCTGATCAAATAAAAAAAAGAAGAAATAGCATATTCTAAAACTGAAAGTTAGCATCATTATACTTTCTTTTATAAGAAACAAGAAATTATTAACAGCTGAAAATTGAAGTATAGAGCAAGATGTTCAAGAAGTCCAGCAGGAAAATCCAACTAAAAGCAGTGGCAGGACCACACCAAACCAAACAAACACTTATCCCAAAACAGAAAACAAATCCAGTTGGATCAAACCAAAGGGTGCATCCTTCAGATGCTTAGACAAGGTCACAACGAAGCCTAACTATAAGCAAGGAATTTAACTGCACCCAGAGTTTGGACTACAGCTACTCATTTAGATGTTAATTTTGCAAGTGAAATAAATATGGATGTAGAAGACCGAAAAACAACTTTCAACCAAAATAATATAATGCCTTAATAACATAAGAAGTCATCCTAAGCTGACTGTAGCAATTTTTCGTACATTTTTTTAGTATAATGGACATGCCAAAAGCAACACCACAGCGTTTTATGTGTAAAATCAGAAATAAAAAGTCTATCATGCACAAATGGAGGCTAAGTAGGTTTATATAAATTATAATGTATTTTAAAAGACATTGTTTTAAATTTAAATTACTAGAAATCCCCTAAGACAGCTATAGCCAACCTTCGTCAGGAGTCCAAGATGACAACAAAGCAAAACCAAGGGATGCACCGCATGATTCACATGCAATTTTATCCACATCAACATTCACCCAACCTCTCCGAGCACATGCCAATGAACTGATGACCTGAAAGAAATGACATAAGCAAAAGTTAGATGCTTTGAAATTGTCTTGAGCCTGTTGCAGGAAGGAAATGAAGGGAAACGTATGTTCGACTGCTTACAATTGAACGTTTAAGAGTTGTCCAAGAATATCATATTTTCACTTCAAAGGATATATTGCATATAACATTTAATATGAGAATCAAAATGTACCAAAAAATTTAGCAGAAATTTACTAAATGATGAGTCAACAAAAAGGTATTTCATTTATGTAACATAATATTAATAATATATTAAATGGACATACAGCATAACTATAGATGCATGTATCTGTATATATGCGTGTGTGTGTGTGTGTGTATGTTCTAAATGACTTAAAATAAAATGGAAGTATTAACAACTCAATTAAGTACAGAAAGACTTCAGATTTGAAAGACTTGAGTGTATGGATATAGCAGCAAAAGTTCAAACCTTGGGCTTTGAAAACCAATTTGAAGGTTTAAAAGTAGCCAAGCGGCGCAGTAAGTCGCCTCTTTCCCAAGGTCTACACGACAGCCTTGATGATCCAAAAACAGAACTATCCCCACCCCCACCACCGCCAGCACTGGTGCTCAAAGAAGTCACCGGTGGTTGCGAACCAACACAAGATATAGATGCTCCTTTGGAGCCTTGTCCATGAATAGACCCGTCTACACTGCCCACATTTGCCGGAACAGTCGGCGACGATGCCCCCGCCGAACTAACATACGCAAAGCGAACATATTTAACCACAATTGAACAATAATACACATAACAAATTCTAATCGACCAAAGATCAATTCTTTCACCAAAAAAATGAACAGCACGTTTAATTAAATTAAGCTGAAAATCACGCAACACTAAGAAATGAAGCTGAAATCTCCACTATCCGAGCAAGGCACTAATCGACCAATTCGTCACAGAAATGACCAAAACCCTAACACTAACTGCACAAATTGATACAAATTGGAACACTACACTCGCAGCTCGAACCAAACAGCAAGCAAATGCAAAACCCTAATTAGATCAGCAGGAGATATTGGAGGAAAACGAAGACCGAGAAGCTTGACGAAGACGGAGATTTAGAGAGAGAGAGAGAGAGAGAGAGAGAGAGAGAGAGAGAGAGAGGATAGGGTACCTGGCAGCAGGAGCAGGATCAATGTTCCCTCCGGAGCTGATGACCTCCTCTCTCATTGCTTCTGGTGATTTTTCGGAAGCAGAGAACGCGATAGAGTGTGCGCACTGGCAGCTCCTTTAATATACCAAGTACCGAATGCGTGTGGTGTGGCGCGTAAACGGTACTCTCACTTCCTTTTCCGCTTTGGAGGAAAGGCTTATTAGTCTACAAGGTAGTCCAAAGATAGCTTTCGTGCTAAAAAGAGTTAGGATTAGTTTTCGTGGTAAAACCTGTTAGGATTTAAACCACATATATGAAACTAAAATAAAATTCTGTTAATTGTTAACACATGATGCTTACATGTGAGGTTAATTTTATTCTTTTAACCTCAAGTGCTTACAATTAAAATTTGACAAAGTTTTCAATTTTTACCCTAAATTCTAACAAATTGCATTGCAAGAGCTTAAATCTAATTTTTTTTTCTTCTTTTCACTATGACTATCCTATCTCTACGAGGACTATTATTCTAATTAGGCCGGGAGGAAATGGAGTTGTAGCAACATTTTTTCACTTCTTTTTATTTTAATTTTTTTCAGTTTTATTTATGTCGCGCATATTTTATTAAAATTAATTATTATTTAATTAATAAACTAAAATTTAAGTTATGAAGGGGAATGAGAATTTTAATATAATTACGAGTGCTAGTAAAAGAGTAAAGATCTTTGTCGGATTCTCTTTGTGAGGATTTCAAAGATTCTTAAATCATATTTGTTCATTGTATATCGGGTGGTCATCAATTATTGTAAATTTTTTTATTTAAAATTGAATATAAACAGTACCTTGACGAAAAATAACCTCACAGTGCAAGATGAACATATGTAATTAGAGGATTCCCGAATCCTCACAAAGAAGACCCGGCAAGAATCATCTATCCTAGGAAATCCATGAGGATCCTCGTCGGATCCTCTTTGTGAGGATCCTCGCCTGATCCTCTTTGTGAGGATCCTAGGAATCCTCTAATCACATCCGTTTATTGTATATCATGCGGTAAAAAATCATTGTAAATTTTTTTATTTAAAATTATATATAAATGGTATTTGATAAAAATTGACCATATAATGTACAATGAATAGATATGATTGAAGGATCTTCAAACAGAGAAAACCCGGCAAAAGTCCTATCTCCTAATAAAATACACGTTGTACGAAAAAGTGACAAAATTTAAATAATAAAGTAAGTTTGAAGATAGGTAGCATTGAGTCACGGCTTTGCGGTTGGGTGGACCCATCCACCGCCTCCCTCAGCGCCGGATCCGGCCCCAATTTGACTGGACAACGTGACTAGACCAGCCTAGTTTTTTTTTATTGGCTAGACCAGCCTAGCAGCCTTAAATTTTAAGAAAAATAACAAAAAAGTTTGGAAACTTTGAGTTTTCGAGATAAAGACCAAAATAAATGGTAAAATGAATAGTATCAGGATTGATTTTTTAGTGTAAAAATATAATTTTTCGTTAAAGTTCCCTAAATTTTATCTTACTAATCTTTTATAATACGATTTACTTTAAGCGAGTGATTTATATCAGATAATGACTTACATGATCTAATTACATTGTTACGTAGTATTTCGTGTTAATGACATAAAAATGTGTGTACGTGTTTATGCACTACTATTGTTTCGTTAGCATGCAATGCCACATGACAGTGTATCTATGCTATATAAATTCTTATTTCAATGTGAAATTTCTCTTTACTTATAAATGAAATAGATTTTAATCCTCATACAGAGTAGCTTGAGAACTCATTTAAGGAATTGGATCCGCTTCGGACCTTAGTGTCTGAAGCCTAAGGATCAACTTATATAGGCCGCACAAATTGAATACAACGGTCTCCATTAACTCATTTTGCTAGCCCACCGCACACTAATCAAAAACTCTGATTTCTTTTACACATCAATCAACGATCCAAATGAATTGATCCTTAAGCTCTGAACACTAAGGTTTGGAGCGGATTCAATTCCCTCATTTAGAAGTATTTTCAATATTTGAAAACGTTTTGGTGAAAATATTTTGAAACCAATTTTTTGTAAAAGTGCAAGTAATTCCTGAAAAAACACTTGGAGTGCTTTCTGCAAGAAGCACAAAAAACACTTCAAGTGCTTTTCGGTCCACAAAACATTTTCTCTAAAAGTGGTTCTAATCATTTAAAAGTAGGATAAATTACATTTTACCTCCTCAGGTTTGGGGTCGATTTAACAGATTTTCTAACGGATGTATGAAATTAAAATAAAATGATAAGTAAATGTATGAAATTGAAATATTTTAAAGATGTTGTAAGAAATTAAAATCGACCCCAAACCTGAGAGGGTAAAATGTAATTTACCCTTAGAAGTATTTCCAAACAAGCAATTTACGACCCACTTCTTCATCGGTTTTACAAGAATTCTTGAGGTAAAACACCCGGAATTTACCTTTTGCCTGCACCCTCCAAGGAGGATACACTTTCCAAAAAGTAAAATACAATTTGCATATGTTTTCATATTAACTTTAAAATGTTTTTCAATTGCGAAGAGAGTCTAACTTGACGTTGAATCTTCTTCTCTCTCAAAAGATACAACCCCCAACAAGTATACTGCATTCATTTGACTTCTGAATGACAGGGTCACTCGAAGGAGATAAACCAAGGTACTAGTTATACATAATACTGTATACACTCCCATAATACTGTTTGTACTCGATAGACAACGGACGTCCGATGATGTTCACTGAAAAACTCGAAAAAACAGAAACAGCATTCAACAAAGAAACCCCATCAACATGTTCGGCCGAGGAAGTCAATCACCTAGATGGCCCAGCACCTGCACCTGCACCTGCACCTACGGCTGCACCTGCGGCTGCGGCTGCGGCTGTGGGAGAAAGAAGTGTATGAGGGTTTTGCTCTGTGATGGATCCTAGAATTTAGACAGATTAGGAGGTGATACTTACCATCATGTGCTTCCTTCCTTGATTCATCTGCTGATTTCCACACTATATCCTTCAGCCCCGTCGACAGGTTCTTGTAGAACTGTAAATACAAGACAATCGACTAAATATGCGCAAAAGACAAAAAGTTCACAACACAGAACAAATAATGGTGCAAGATAGGTGCAATTTCAAATGTTGGCCCAAGCTGCAGCTAGATGTGCACTAACTCTAATGCCGTAGGGGATTAATAACACGTCTGATCCCCTAGGGACACTCTTCCGAGGTGTAGTTCTCGGTAATTGCTCTTAATTAGATGAATATACAATACTTAATAGATCAATAAGTGCATCGACGTTGCAATAACATACATTGTGAAATTCCAGAGTGTCTCCCCCTGACTTGCGAACCTCAACCATGTAAAGCGAGGGGGCCACCTCAAAAATCTGGAAAAGAAAGTCATTTTGTAACACATTTGTCAACAGAACACAAAAAAGAAAATTAAAAAAAAAAAAAGTGAAAGGCATGAACAAAAAATGAAAATGAACGAGGCAAACCTCTGTTGCAACAGATAAATGACCTTTACGTCCCGTTTTTTCACCTTGCAGCTTCAACTGATATATAAAAAAGATGTGTCACATAACGATGCAATTTTCCTCTCTTTAAAGAATTTTACCAGTTACAATCCCCCTTTCCCCAGTAACAGAGAAAAAGAAAATCAAAATGCAAAAGAGAATAGCCATTGTACCTTGAAGTTATTTTTCTTTACACCAAAACCCAAAGGCCCTGCAGCTTCCTCAATTTTAGAAATTATCTCATTAGCTGGACGTTTGGATGTGAACCTTGTTTCTCGTTTAACAAGATCCTGGTTTGTAAAAGAAATGTCAGCTGTTTCCTTACATTTTATGTTCATGAATAAACTAAATAAACAGAACTAGAGAGGAAAGGTTAAAACTTGCCAATTAAGCAAACAGAAAACCAACAATGTGCGACAAATTACAATTTTACGTTTGTTTTTCAAATTTAACCATACCATTTGTTTCTCAAAAAGACTATTGAGATTCAGGCCCTGGGATGTAGAGATAAGCTCAAAGGCATTCATTGTGACAGGCGCCACATTCCGCTCTTCTCGCCTCTCCACTACAAGGTTCTGAGAATCCTGTGCTTGGGAAGAATCGAGTAGAAAGTCAAGCCCTGGCATCATGAACCAAAATAAATCATAATACATAATGTCTCGCTCTTACCGCCGATTCATTGAATATAGAATCCACATCGTCAAGACTGACATCAACTTGTTCAAAACTAGGTGGCTTATATCCTTTCTTAAACCACTCATTCTCAATGACCTCAGCAATTGTAATTCTCTGTTGCATGAAATTAGCTTGTACAATAAATGCAAGATATAAATAATAATTTAAAGAAACTGAAATGCCCGAAAAACAGACAAATCTATTGTATAAAGTTAAAAAGGACAGGAGACAGGGACATACTGTCAAGGGGTTAGGATCCAAGATTCTCTTGATTAGCTTCTTTGCACTTGAGGAGAACCATGGAGGGCATGTGAAGTCAGCCTTGAATATCTGGTGATCACACAAAAACGATAGATGTAATCATGTAAGACAAAGATAACAGAGCCATATATTGACCAAATTTATGGCTGTGCTGTCTGTTTTTCCTCCATCGCCATGCGTTGGTCTACGAGTGATGAGAAAAAGAGAGAGAATCACCTTTTTGTATAATGCCATGAGGTTGGAATCTTCAAAAGGCAAATAGCCAGCCACTAAGACAAAAAGAATCACACCACAAGACCATAAATCCGCTTTCGCACCATCATACCCTTTGTTGTTGATCACCTAGAGACAAAAAAATGTCATTAAGTGGAACAGGGTAACAAAATGGGAAACTAGCTAGTCTGAGCAAAAGCTAATATACCTCAGGGGCAACATAATTTGGTGTCCCACATGTCGTATGAAGCAATCCATCTTCCTGAATGAAAGGAATAAGATAATCACTCACACAATCTGTAACAAATGAACATGTGAAACTGGCTGCCTAATTATTCACCATGGTATGTTTATGACTAAAAGTATGAGATAGGTATTGCTAAAAGAAGCCATCCAATACTGACTATCAAATTTGAACGGATACATGAAAGCATAGCACTCACCCGAACTTGCTGAGGTAGTGCACTCAGTCCAAAATCTGAAACTTTAAGAGTCCCGCTAACATCCAGCAGCAAATTCTCTGGCTGCAGTTGACAACCACAAAATCAATTTAGTGGTACACTATGATATATATACATCACACGGCGCAACTACAGATCCAAATTTCCTGCAAACAATAGATCTGAACTTATTACGACAAAAAAAAAAAAAATCATATATACATATGTAGATATTAGGTCTCTATGAAAGGGGGCAATGATAATTCACACCTTTAGGTCTCTATGAAAAACACCTCTGCTGTGACAGTAATCAACAGCATTTATAAGCTGCTGAAAATACTTTCTTGCTTCATCTTCTTTCAATCTTCCTTTACTTGCCTAACAATACAAATAGCGCAAGGATTCTAATTATATATATCATCAGAAATAAATAGAAAGTCCAGCAATTCAATTGAATAAGCACTATCTTACAATTTTGTCAAATAGTTCTCCACCAGTCACAAATTCCAAAACAATGTATATTTTCGTCTTGCTAGCCATCACCTACATCATTAATACATCCAAAAGTCATTTGTAAGTACTAAATAAATCACAGTTTTAAAATTCCGCCCACACCAAGCACCAACAATATTGACAGTGGACATTGTACTATTGTCATGACTCGTGCCACAAACCAAAAAGAAAACAAGAAATAGAAAGAAATCCAACTGCAATGACCACCGCATCATCGTAAATGTTTGTTCTGATAATGATTAAACGCATGTATAAGTCTATGCCAAAGATGTAATTCATCTTAGCTTATACATATAAACCATTAGGAATCCAAAAACAATTCAAGATCAGATTTGACTACCTCATACATGCGGATGACATTTGGATGTCTAATTAGTTTCATTGTTGATATTTCTCGTTTGATCTGCAAAAGGAGAGAATATGACTGCAATTCATCAGAAATCAGAATTAGGATTGTGTACCGTCAAAGAAAAATGATTGTGTAAATTGTTCAATTTCTAATTTCAATTAAATTTGTGCGTATAGAATCTAGATGCTGCAGCTGAAGAAATCAGCAAGGCAAGGTGAGGGTGCCGAGCAAATCCATCAAGTCAGACCATGTGATCGGTTTGTTTTTTCGTGGTTGAAGTTAATCTCAACTCAACCTTCAATCATTGGAGATGGTACATAACATCTACTAATAGGGTATGCCAATAGCAAATTATGTCGATTCAATTCTGATGTTCGTCAAGTTTAGTTCAATTCTGATGATATCCTATGCAAATCGTCTAACTTAAACTCAAATATGTTTACGAAAAATCATAATCTCCCTAATCTCGTTTTGCTTGCGTAACTGATGATATCGGAAAACAAAACAAGAACCCCTCTAAATTTCTTCGGAGTCAAGAAAGTCAATAAATTTCTCCAGATTCAAAAAGTCAACAAAGCAGTAGCAATCAAACAGTAAAATGTTCATGTCATCAAACGACAAACCCCAATCTTTTCAAAGTTGACTTTTTTTCCCTCTAATTTTATGTAAACAATAAAATATTTTTCATTTTCCGTGATTCTTTCATCACTTTCTCACCAACCAAACAGCGGGTCATCCAATATTCCCAGAAAATAATCCAACTAACATGCAACGAAACGCTAAATTAAATAAAACTGATCAAATTAAAAAAATTTGAAAAAAAATAAATAAATCAAACCTGGCCGATCATCTTGTGCTTGAGGACCTTCTCCTTGTCGAGAATTTTGATCGCAAAGTTCTCATCTGTCTCGACGTTGCGCGCGAACTTGACCTTGGCAAAATTCCCCTCCCCGAGAGTCCGACCCAGCTCGTACCGCCCGACCCGCGTCCTGCTTCCAGTGTTCGACCTCGACGCCATCTCCTCCAACCCTCTCTCCCCTCGCTTCTCTCTCTAAAATCTTCCAAATTTCTCTCTCAAAATTCCAGTCCGCAATACCTCTTCCTTTCTCTCTCTAAAACTACCTCTTCTTCTTGCAAGGCTGCCAAACCTGAGACTTCGTCACGCTCATCCTTCCTGAATTTTAATCCGAAAAAAAAAACCCGAAATCCTTAGTCCGCAGAGACAAACGAATCCGAGACGCGATTTGGCGGTTCAAATCGGGAAAGAAGAAAGAGACTCGGAGGCAAAAGAGAAAGAAAAGGTTGAAGAATCGTTGACCGTCCGATCCGACAAGAAACCCATCAATTCGGATTTCCAATCATACAAAAATCGAACGGATTGCGATGCATGCAGAGAATCTGAAAGCTTTTGTTTTGGGGCGAAAGCGATCGGAGATCTCCAGGAGATTGAATCAGGGCCGTGGACGGTGGATCTGATGATTGATTCTTTTTTTTGGAGCTTTTGGTTTTGTGCTTTTTTGGGTGAAAAATTGGAAATAAATGGCACCGCGGGGTTTTTTTTGTAATTAACTGAAAAGCGAATATTCTGGGGCGATGATTGGGTTCTTTTGTCTACTTCGTCTCTATACGAGGAAGGTTGCATCTGCGGATATTTTGAAATTACTTTTTCAACCTCGGAAGCTGGGATCGGGTGTTTTGCAGGCCACCTCTCCACGGATCCGTTCTGGTGTCTTTTTATAATAGAGCGATAATGTTAAGCCTGGTATTAGGTACATAAAAATTTTAAATTAAATAATATGCCGCGGAACACAAAAATTATGTTAATTAATATTTAAGTAATAATTTAATTATTTATAGTTATATTATTTAATTTACTAAATTTAATTTAAAATTTTAGTCTTTCTAAATTACCCTAAATTAGTAATGTGTTATTTTAGTACAGGGTTGGTGAAAATTGAAAAATGGGTGGGAGTTGAATTCACACTAGGATGCCAATTCAGTAAAACTTATATGTAATAATAAAAAATACAAAAAAATATTATGTTTGACACTAACATTAAAAGGTAATTATACATACACTATGTGTGTGAAATTTTTAAAAATTTTATAGGAGCAATAAGGAGAGAAAGTGGGTTAATTCAGTTTTTATTGAATTTTTTTTTTTCATTTTTTGAGGGAGAAGAGATAAAGTAAACGTAGGATTTATAGAAAGATGCTTTGAAAATAATAACATTTTTTTATATGAAATTATTTTAATGTCTATGATTTTTTATTGAATTGTGAAGAGAAAATTAAATTATCTTTTCGCCTACTTTTAATTAACTTAAATAATTTTATTATTAGGTAGGATAGACTTTTTTAAATATGATATTAAAAAAGGAGAATCAATGAATATGGCGGCTTTATATTTCAATCTCATTAAGTAACATTAGATTCAAGGTTAAACAATTATGCATTTCTTAATCACGATATGATTAAGATAAACATTTATACGTTTCATAACCTTTGTTGATAAACTATTTGGAGAAATCACCCTTCCATTGTCTTCTCTGTATTCAAACATTTTTTTTTGTAGACTATTGTTGGTACTTAAAAAACTAATTGTGCATTTTTTTAATTGGAGTGCTACTAATAATTCATTTATTTATTCTATCCAACATTTGGTAAGTGTTCTTATAATTTTAAGGTAGTGTAAATACGCGTGTTCTTTAGTAGTTAATTTTGTTTTGGTTTTTTTTTTATTATTATTAATTTTGAGAGGAGTAGCTTAATTCTATTCTAAGTTAGTAGCTTAATTAAACTATTCCTCTCAAAATTATAAGAACAGTCATTATAAAAATACTTCCAAACGAGTTAATAGTCATTGTGTTATGTTGGCTATGATTAATCGTGATGTGGGATTGTGAGCAAACGAACTTGAAACAACAATTGGTTTGTCTTTATTTCTTTTTATATTTATTTAATCTGTGAGCAAAAGAAAGTTTTGGTGTCAATAACATTTCTCTTTATTTATTTTCTGTTAAAGCGAGTCAAAACTCAGCTGGTTCTGCCATTCACATTCATCTTGTGATTAAAAGCTCATCGTCCGCTTAAGCAAGGACCGCACTACAAAATCAAAACGACAAAACTCTTCCAAATTAAAAACCTAACATTGAAACACATGGGACTAGAATCAAACCAAAGGCGGATTTTAAAATTTTACTATATTAAAGATCGACACTTTTTTTTTTTTTAATACACGGATATATTTACAATAGAATTATAAAAGAAAAAAAAAATATTTTCGAACACTTCATTATGTTTGGACGAAGAAATTTAAGATTACTAAGGAATATTAAAATAACGGAAATTGAAATGACGAGATTTTATTTTATAGAATTTGTGAATTTTCTTGTTTGGTTAACCTAAAATGTAACATCCTACATCGCACATGGGAGTGAATCCTGTAAGCATTATATGTATATTATCATCTCTACCTACCGCGAGGCCTTTTGGGAGCTTATTGGCTTCGGATTCCGTAGAAACTCCAAAGTTAAGCGAGTTCACGCGAGAGCAATTCCAAGATGGGTGACCCAGTTCTCGTTTGAGTTCCCAAAAACAAAACCATGAGGGCCCAGAACAAAACCGTTTTGAGTTCCCAAAAACAAAACCGTGAGGGCGTGGTCGGGGCCCAAAGCAGACAATATCGTGCTTCGATGGAGTTGAGCCGGAGATGTGGTGGGAGCCCGAGTGGGATGTGACATAAAAGAACAATGGAATTGAATATATAATTTGTTATTTTTAAGCTCTCAATCATAGAAATTAGGAAATGACACATATTTACCTGAAATTTAAACTTGGAAATTGAAGGTTACAAATTCTAAGTTTTTTTTTTTCACGCGAAAATTCTAAATTTTATGTTTATAAATCTAAAAAAGGAATTAATATATGTCAATTTATAACTTCTGATTTTATCCAAACTCCAAGTTTATCCTCATCCAAACATAGTTACATAGTGTTAGGTAACCTTTTTTCCGGTTAATTGCCTAGGTTTCCTTCCCTCCAAAAAAAATTTCCGAGCTCCGTTGCCAATTTGTTTCCTTTTTTCTCGAAGAAAATTGAAATAAGCAAAACCCTTAAACCCTCTCTCTCTCTCTCTCTCTCTCTCGCTCTCTCCATCTCTCTCCGGCCTTGTCTCTCAACCCACTCCAAGTAGATGTTAGCTATTTCAAGGATGAAGGCCTTCATCTCCTCCGCCCCTCACGTTTCCAAGACCACACCTTTCGCCCTTTTATCTTCCGCCTCCTCCTCCAAGTCCTTCTCCTTCAGCCCTCCTACCCTTTTCCAAAAACCCAATATTTTTCTCCCCAAAAGATCTATTTTTTCACCTCAGAACGTCCGATGTCTGCAAATGGAGGCGGAATCTCACCAGCGCTCCGGTGAGATTCACGTCATCGTCGGCCCCATGTTCGCCGGCAAGACCACCACGCTTCTTCGCAAAGTTCAGTCCGAGAGAGGCAACGGCAGGTTTGACTCCCCCACCTTTTCTGTTGCATTTTTTAGTTTTGAAGTCTGAAATTTTATGCTTGACAAAAAAAAAAAGTATGAATTCCATTTGTGCTGAAGAGGAATAATTTGGCTGGCTATTAAGATTTTGAATGTTTGGATGATATCTGTAGTATGCCGGAGAAATTTGAAGTTTCTTAATTTGTATATTGAATGTGAGTTGTTCTTCCATGTGAGTTAATGGCTCCCTTTTTTCTGCAACTGACAATTCAGAGCTTGTATGCTGACATTTATGGAAATTTTGTATAAAGAGAATAGATTAGAATTAAATGTAAGTATTTGGCGGCTTTTTTTTTTTCATTTACATGTAATTGGGGTGCACATTCAGTCTCTGTGTCTTGTACTGATGTCTCGGGTCTCTTAATTGAGTACATATATCACCAGTAAGATATTCCAGCCTTCAGGTCAAGCCTCAAAAGCACATTCAACTGGATAAAACACTCAAGGGACTCTGCTATTCCGGAAGATTGGCGGAAAATGTTGGACTATTGTGCCATACAAAGTTAGAGCTGAATCCAGCCACATATGCCCTTCTGTTGCAAAATGTATATTTAGGAAAGAGTATAAGAAGGGGAAGCGAATCCATGCGCAAATGATTGTTGTGGGTTTTGTTCTTATCGAATATCTGAAGACCAAGTTATTGATTTTGTATGCAAAATCAGGGGATTTAGGAACTGCCTCACAGTTTGCTTGATATGTTGCTTGAGAAAAGCTTGGTTTCACGGAACCCAATAATTGCAGGATATGTGCAAAAGGGGCTTGAGGATGTGGGGTTGAGTCTTTATAATAAGATGAGACAGAGTGGTTTGATCCCAGACCAACATACCTTTGCATCGGTCTTCAGAGCGTGTGCCTCTTTAGCAACACTGGAGCATGGAGCAAGCCCACAGTGTCATGATATAGTGCCAAATTGACAAATGTAGTAGTCAGAAGTGCCCTCATGGATATGTACTGTAAATGTAGTGATATATCTGACGGGCATAGGGTATTTGATACCTCTCAAAATAGGAATGCCATTACTTGGACTGCTTTGATGTCCAGGTATGGTCAGAATGGAAGAGTTGTAGAGGTCTTAGATCTTTTTCATAGGATAAAGAGTGAAGGTTTCAGACCAATCTCATAGGATAAAGAGTGAAGGTTTCAGACCAATCTATGTTTAATTTTATCTCAGTTCTTTCTGCTTGTAGTCATGGAAGTTTAGTTGACAATGCATGATTGCCAGGGAATACTTTTCTTCCATGACAAGAGATTATGAAATTCAGCCAAGAGCACAACATTATGCAGTCTTGGTAGATGTTTTAGGACGTGCTGGGCAGTTAGAAGAAGCCTATTAGTTTGTTTCAAACTCACCTTATAAGGAGCACTCAGTGATATGGGGTGCTTTTCTTTGGGCTTGTAGAATTCTTGGAGATAGAGAATTGTTAAAACTTGCAGCAAAGAAGTACTTCAAATTGGAACCAGAGAATGCTGGGAAGTATGTGGTCTTGTCTAATGCTTATGCCACTTTTGGATTGTGGGACAATGTTGCTAAGATTAGGTACATGATGAAGGAATCAGGGATAGTAAAGGAACCCACTTATAGCAAAATAGAGGTTCAAAAGGAGGTCCATTTCTTTCTCAAGGCTGATACATATCACAAGCAATCCGAAGAGATTTATGAAATGGTTAAATTGGTTGATTTCTCTCTAAAGGATTCGGCCTGTGCTCCTCGGTAAGGGGAAGCTAATTCATGTTACGGAAAAGAGCTATCTAAGAGCTTCATGATTGAGAGGTATTCTCGGTCTTGTCTGAAACACCAGTTGAATATGCAGTGATATACTCATGCAAAGTTATTTAAACGGTGTCATAAGTGAGAAATTTCATTTTTTAGGAAGCTGAAAAGCATGTAAGAGAGAGAATATTGTTTATATTCAGATTTCAGTACATGTGCCCCATGCATGACACTGATACACAAAACCGAGCATCTTCTGACTCTTCTCCTTTGGGTTTTCAGTGCTTCACTGAATGATATTGTACATTATCTATGTACTTGCAAGTTCCAAGTATCTGCATGGATTTTCTTGCAATGTAATGGTTTCTGATTTCTTTGTAAACGAAGGGCTAATCGTTCCAAATCTTTGCTTGAATATTATATATCATTAATTAGTTCCTGCATATAATTCATTAATTCCTTTGTTTAATCTTTTGCCAGAAATGTTGCTATAATCAAATCGATCAAGGATACAAGATATGGATTGGATTCAATTGTGACACATGACGGGGTCAAGTTGCCATGCTGGCCTTTAAAAGATTTATCATCGTTCAAACAAAAGTTTACCCCTGAGGCATATGATAAGGTATATTAGCACCGTTATTTGATTAAGAAGCAATTCAAGTTTCAAATGTTTATCCAGGTTACATCTTTTTGCCATGTATGATTCATATTATCTACTCGTAACCAATATGCGGCGACAGCTAGATGTGATTGGTATCGATGAAGCTCAATTCTTTGAAGACCTGTATGATTTCTGCTCCGAAGCTGCTGATCATGATGGTAAAAAGGTGATAGTCGCCGGACTAGATGGTGACTATTTAAGGTAATTGTTCGATTTCTCCACCAGTTGACGTTCTCGTGACTTTGCAATGACTAGTTTTCCTTGTCACTCGGAGAATGTTGTTCCCTTCTAATTCTAAATTTGATGGCAGGAGGAGCTTTGGTTCTGTGCTAGATATAATTCCCCTTGCTGACTCTGTAACCAAGTTAACTGCTCGATGCGAGCTTTGTGGGAAACGTGCTTTCTTTACACTAAGAAAGACGGAGGAGTTGCAGACTGAACTCATTGGCGGGCCTGACGTCTACATGCCTGTCTGCCGGCAACACTACGTTGGTGGCCAAGTAGCCATAGAAGCTGCGAGAGTTGTGCTGGAGTCTCAAGTTCAGTGCGCGTCATAGACATAGTACCCTTTTCTGGTTAGTAAGAAGTAGTACATGTATTTTAGAACCTCATTACATGTCTTGTTGGAAATTTTACCGGAGTAGGGTTTTCTTTCTTCCTAATCTCTCTCCCCTTCCCTCCCCTCCTATTTAAACAGTTAGGATTCTTGATCAAGAATGTATATATTTCTTTCCACCACCCATAGAATGCGCAAACACCATGACAAAAAGTTTTATTATGGTTTTGAAGATTTTTGCAAAACCGATCAAAACCATGGGTTGTAACTCACAAATTTTGAGAAAAAAATGCAATTTCTGAGTTTTTGTGAGATCTTTTGTAGATGATCGGAAAAATTTATTTGACATTTGGAACCGGTCTTATTATTTCTTGAAAACCGTTAAAAACTGTGGGTTATAACTCAAAGCTTTTGAGAAAAATGCAAATTTTGAGTTTTTATGATATATTTAGTAGATGATAATCAGAAATTTTTTTGGAACCGGTCTTATTATTTCATGAGCAAAACCGATCAAAACCATGGGTTATAAATCACAATTTTTTAGTTTTTGTGAGATTTGTTGTGGATGGTAATCGAAAAAAATTATTAGCGATTTGGAATCGGTCTTATTATTTTTTAAGCAAATGAAAATCGTGGGTTATAATTCACAATTTTGTGAAAAATGCAATTTTCCAGTTTTATATGTTGATTTAAAGTTCGTTCTTCTTGAAACATTCAGTCCCGAAAGATGGTGTGTTTTATAGCCGGCAAATTACCAACAAATGTCGGTCTCATGGCCCGCCAAAATGGTGGAGGCAGTGATACCGCATCACCACAAGGCAACAGGATATGACACCACGGTCGGCGGAGGAGCCCCCGAGCCGAAGCCGGAAGGACAGTCAACGTCGACGATAATCTTTATGCGACGTTAACTTTACTTTTGAAGTGTACAGGCACCGATTTTGCTCGCTCCTTTCAGTTGGGGACGGATCAATTTCCCCCGTCACAGCAAATTTCATTCACAACAAACAAAAAAGCATCAAAATTTAGAACAGAAAAGGGAAAATATTTACGGAAGATCGAAAAGCCCTAAATAAATTGAAAACAAATCGACCCAGAGTTTGCCGATAAACCCTTAAAAAGGGGTCGGCTGATAGTTTTGCCATAGCATTCCATCCTTCCGGGTGCTGGCTCATAGAGTCTCCTCTTGGCTTGCGATTCATAGCACCAAGAATCAAATTCAGAATGTGTCGTGTGAAATACAAGTCTAAAAGTCACCCCACCACTAAGCCAACCCGTGATGGTTAAATAACATAACCAAATTTAATATATAATGCTGTGATGAATTATAAAAGCTTTAGGTAGTTCCTACACTACAGTATCTCTTTTTGCAAACTTTCAAAATTGGTATCAGAATTTTTTGGTAATCTCTTATATGGAAAAGCACATGATGGTTTATAGGTTGTTGATGAAACAGATCGACTGCTAAGGGAGGCATACCAATCTTGGCTACCCGCTGTGCTTCAAATCACTCGCCCTAACGATGAACGTTTCCTTTCCTGTGCTCAAAATTTTGTACCTTCCCCATTCGGTTCCTTAAAAACCATAAGGAGATCGTAAGTTCCATGTCCATTTTCTATTCCTCCGTCAATTTATTTACTTATTTCAGATCTCTGCCATGGCACAGAATCGAGCAATATTAATTCCTCTTGTCATTTTGAAATAGAACTACATCGTAGTTTTTCCACATCGCTTCCATTCTCATGTTCTAAGTTACTTTTATGCTGCATCAATTTAGCGTTTAGGATAAATAGAGTAGTGTCCTATTTGATGTAATGGCAAAGCCTATTTCTAAGCTCATATTATGCACACTGTCTTGTTTGCCTTTCAAGCGGGCGATGATGGTGAGGTTAGATTCATTTAGTCTCTTGGTAGCATATATAAATTGAAAAATCTGTGTATCGTATTTTGATAAATTTTTAATATTTTGATGTCTAAGGGGAACACTTTGCGAATCAAAGTACAAGCCATTACATTTAGTCGGGCTCCTGCAAAGTTTAGGAGCAGACAAGTGCATCGTTTTCACATCCTCTGTGGAGTCAACTCATCGTCTATGCACCTTGTTGAACTCTTTTGATCATCTGCCTTTCAAGATTAAGGAGTATTCAAGCCTTCAACGCCAATCTATACGAAGGTAAGTTCCTGGATATTTAATAAATTTAAAGGGATAAGATTGTGAATATTTGATTAATTATGGCAGCAAGACATTGAAGGCATTCCGGAAAGGGGAGATTCAAGTACTCGTTTCATCTGATGCAATGACTTCATGTCTATATAGATTAACTGCACTGCATAATTTTTTTTTATTACAAATAAATACACTGGTTTGGGTGAACTATATTGGGTCAATGGTTTTTAAATCATATCGGTGTTCGCCCTAATGGCTTCCACCATTACAATGTTTGGCCTCATCGAATTTACGTGTTATCTCTAATGGTTTTAAGCTTCCATAGACACCAGCTAGATTTAGTCGAGTGACTTTAGATGCTTAAACGAACAATGCCTCCTTATCATATCTTTTCTTTCTCAATGTGACGGCTCTGGAAGAGACTGTTGAAATGGAAACATCACGGAAGAGAAAGCGGTGAAAGGAAATGAAATAGAGCATCCTTGAATTGAAGCAAGTTCTGCCTAAGAGAGAAGATTTCGGGAGGGGTAGTTTTATCAACAAAACATTTTTGCTACCTTCTTAGTCGTAAATGGTTGGTTCAGATGACATAGCAGGACCTTGCAGGCATGTATAGTTTGATACAGAGCTAAATTTAAAGAGTACTCCCACATCGGTAAAAAAAGCACGTGAATGTTAAAGAGTCTCACATCGATATTTTAATCAATGTGCGAGGATTTGATATATTAGTCCTCATATTTCTCAAAACGAATAAGAGCAAATATATATGAAACATTGATTGATGGTAAAGTAAATAGTTAGTGACTCTGTACAGCATAAATAATATTGCCTCTCAATTTCCATATTATATTTTATATTTCCTCCATTGGCCTAATAGAAAAGGTCCTTTCACAATCTCTCAACGGTTCAGCTAGTTTGGTCATCTCGCTAAAATTCTCCATGACCATGTTTGTTGAACCGAAAAAAAGAAAAAGAGAGAACATAAAATAGAGTCCGAATCCTCTTTGTGAGGATTTCATGAATCCGTAAATCATGTATGTTTATCGTACATTATGCGGTCAGAAATCATTTTAAATATTTTTATTTAAAACAAAAATTGACTGCACGATGTACGATAAAAATAACACGATTCACGGATTCCCAAAATTCTCACCAAAAGCAGCCGGAGAGGATCCTGTTGGCATAAAATAGGGCCTCAAAAACACGGCTGCAACTCATATTTGTCACAAAATAACGCCTTCAAGGCTAGCTAGCGAGCTTCACGGTTTATTTGCTCGGACTTCAAAGGTGTAAGTTTAGTGTCCAAACACCGACAAAGACCTACGAACCTTCCTCAGAAAGTAGTTCGACTCAGCTCTGGCGGAAGAAGAAGAAGCGAAACTTGGTGGCGATGACAACGACGACAATGACGATGATGAAGAGGAATGAGCAAAACCGTTGGATGATGATGAAGTGAGAGAATCGTTTGGGGTATGAGCATTTTCTCTCTCCTCCTCATAGATTGTTTCCAACACCTTTGAAGTTCTGTGCCTCATCACACTCACAAACTGTGGTGGCGCAACTTCTGTGACGAACCTTGCTAGCCGTGAATTCGCCATTTCCTTCACTAAAAGTTGAAGAAAACTATACTAACGATTGAGAACTTAGAAGTGATCACGAAAGAGCAAAGAGAAGAGAGAAATGTGTTGAAGAAAAAGGTATTGCTCGTCAATACTGAGCATACGAACACAAACTTATATAGATGAAATTTGTTAGGGTTTGTAGTACTTAAGCCCACAGGTCCTTAGTCCAAGAACGTTAAATCATGTTTTAATAGTTAGTGCCGCCACTTGCTTTTAACATTAATTGTTAGGGCTGACGTCGGACCCATGTATTGTTAGGTGTCGATTCTTGGGTGGAAGTCAGATATCTGCGAGAGATAGGGTCTTTGTTGGGAACGATGGCTTCCAAATTTGCACTTTTCCCACCCGCAACCGAAGTAGGCATTTACCGTGCCACGTTTCGGATTAGTCGGCCTGATTTGGGCACAGTGATGCTGACAAAATTTTCTCGAGAAAACTTCTTTCTTCCGAGAAAATAATGGTCCAACCATTTGGCTGGCTCAAATTCATTTGGGTTGACAAGTTAGGAAAATATCCCAATCATGGTTTACCAGTACGCGATACGTACCGTGTTTGTTGGGCTGACAATGATCAGGATGATCAGTTTATTTAGCCCATGAAATTATGTAACAGCATGCTTTTAAACATGATTAATTAGTGATTATAATTGTTTGGAGTTTGATTAGTTATGAACATGTATCAGATCTTTCATCCGGTATAGAGTAGGATATGATTTGGATTAAGGCCTACCTGGGAAAACCTAACTTTCAAACTCCAATTAATTGCAGGAAAATCCATCAAACACAACCACACCAGCAAGCCCATCTGAAAGCAGTGGGTCTGATTGACCAAAGGCGTCGTATGCCAGGAAGGACTTTGCCCTTGAGCTCAATTGAAAAAAGAAAGCCCAGGCGCACTCTCAGTATTAGTTCAGTTCGAAACGGATCTGCTCCTATAATCAAAGATACAGCTGAGTTCGCAGCTACAGGCAAATTTCACATCGTCTTATCGCCTTCAACCTTCATAGCTGTACGAGAGTAGTGATCCCATCCCATTTCAGGAGGAGGGGGGGAGGAGATGGCCACTATCGTCATTGCATATGCCTTCCCGGTGTGGTGGGAAACATCATAGCTTGATGATAGTCGGGAGAAGAGCTTCAAGCCATCAGCAAACTCAAAGGGTTTCAGAACTTAGTTGCTCACACTTGCAAGGAAAGTTTCAAAAAAGGATAATGCTTGTATTCCTCTATAGGGAAACCTACTTGTTCCCCTACCTAGATTATACCACTAATTTGTGTGTGATCTAACACTCAATCGACTGTCAAAATGCTAGGTGAGGTTCTCGTACGACAATCCTTCCTTACATTAGGAGGGTTCGCTTTGATTGTTGATGGGATGGATATCTTTTCCAATTC